TGGAAACCCAATGACCTTGTGTGTCTTCTTCAGTATATGTTATTCATTTAAAGCGTAAACAACAATATTTTTTACTAAAATTTTCGAATTTTGTGCCTCAAGTTTTTGCGAGGAGTCCTTCTTCATTACTTTAGTATAAAGAAAATCTCAGCTGAAAATCGTAAAATTTTACTGGAAGTTTATGGCGAACATGCTCTAGCTGAGCGAACGTGCCAAATTTTGTATGCACGATTTGAAAGTGGTGGTGGTGATATTGGCTTAGAATACGAAGAACATCCTGGTCAGCCAAAACGTTTGAAGATATGGAACTGGAAGCATTAATCGATGAAGATTTTTGTCAAACACAAAAAGAGCTCGCAGAATTTTTGTAAGTCACACAAGCAGTCTATTAAAAATGTTTAAAAGCAGCCGGATACATTCAAAATCAAGAAAAATATGTTTCATATGAATTGAAGGCAAGAGATATTGAAAGCATGCTGCATGAACGCTTAAAAAAAGTAATTTTTGCATCGTATTGCAGCTGGTGGTGAAAAATGGTTCCGTTACGACAAATCTAAACCCAAAATATCTTTTTTAAAATCTTAATATTAATCAATCGGCCAAATCGACAGCAAAACTGAATATCCATGGCACCAAGATGTACAAGTATAGTGAGTTCAAATGTATTATTAGCTTCTAAAACCGGATGGAACTATTAATGGGGAACACTACCGACAATAACTCATCAAATTGCAGCGAGAAAATGGCCAAAAACCAAACCGCAAAATCCGGACGACGGAGCACGAGACAATAATTTTCTATTATAACAACGCTCGGCCTCGTATTGCAAGACCGGTTAAAAACTATTTGGAAAACAGCAGCCGAGAAGTTTTGAGTCACCCACCTTATAGCTCAAATTCTGCCTCTTCTTATTACCATTTGTTCAGGTCGATGCAGAACGCCCTCACAGGAATACGATTCACATCAAAACAGGAATAATATTATGAATAACATGTGAATATAGTTATAGACCCAATAATTTGCCAAAAATTTCCTAATTTCGAATTATTTTATATTAATTTAATAACAATATATGAAGAAAAAATTTAAAAATCTTGAAAATTTTAGGTTTTTGCAATCAAAACATAGTTTTCTGTGTTTTCGTTTCACATAGAACATTTCTCTTCTATGCAATTATAACAGAATTACTTAATTGCTTGTATGTTGCTAATTGTTATGGAATTAATACTTAAATTGTTGAAACTGTACTTATTATTTATTCGTTAATTTTTCTTTTAACAAAAGTTAGTCATACCGAAAGAACTTTTTTAAAATTAAATAATTTATATAGAATTACTACAAATTTGGAAGAACCACTGACTCGAATGATATTATTGGCCGAAAAAGGACCAGTAAAAGTTAAGAATGCTCTAGAAGTAAAATATAGGCAGGTAACTACAATAGTTTGCTTTTACCAAGCTTTGACCAGTCTCTTTAATGAAATAACTTGGCTAACTTAATGCAAAATTGACTACGAAATATAAGACTATAGTTAATAGTAGTTAATTGATTGCTTGAAGGTTATACAAATTTTCAGTAAGTTAAGTCTCTGTGGAATTGCATATACAGTATTTAGACAGCTCCCCGAAGGAGAAAGTATTAGATGTTTTTCGTTTTTGCCTTCGTTATATTCTTTCTCTAAGTCTAATTTGTATAGAGAAGGTGCTAATTGACTTAATTAAGTGCCAAAGTAAAATAGTTATTAGTCATAAAATAAATATAATTTAATAATTTATCTTACTTATTCTTGATTTCCAACATTTCCGAAATTATTCAACCGGTCATTAATATATTAAAAAAAAACACTGAAAACTTAGAAAAATATATTTTTATTTTGACATTCAAAATTGTGTTGTCGATTACACGAAGTCAACGTTAACGCCACATTCAATTCAGCATTTAAATCAAAAATTACTTAGTTCTGCCATAAAATCTGTTACAAATTCAGGCCGTTTGAATTATAATATTCAATTATATTGTAATACATTTTAAAGTAAAGTTAATTTTATTTAGTAAAGCAAAATTTAATGAGCGATGCACAAAATTTTTTTCGAAATGGTCAACATGTGCTTTCACAAAAGCCCTCAAACGATTCGGCAATTGATCAATAGCAGCACGCACAGTTTCAAGTAGTATTGACAACGCTGTTCGAATCAAAGATTTTTAGAGACTCTCCAAATTATTTCTGTAGAGTATTAGACAGGCAGAAATATTGCTTTTAAGCTTGTGCTGGTTGGTTTTTGTCTTATGTGCTGGAGCAGAATCTTGCTAGAAAATTTAATGCTCTCCATCGGTAATAGTATTGCATCACTGGCTTACCAAGCCTTCTAAAACCTCCTGCTAGTACAATTTTCTTCCAGCTTTAACCTCTTTTTCACTGAAGTGAAGAGATGTAACGCGGTTACAGAAGACTTATCACCTAACCATTACAGCAGCTGGATGCTGACAACATTGAACCCTTGGAATAACAAATTTTGCGTCTTTGGCAGGTTTTGCGTGGATTTTGTTCTTTTCCTTAATAAAAATTGCTTTAAGATTGAAAATATTTTCATTTGTTAAAAGTATACTTTTATGGCCGTTAACCGTGTACAACTGAAGCAGCCGCTTGTATATGTTGCGGCTATATTTGCTTTAAGCGCGTTTACAGACAGATGACCAGTTGACCGACGATAGACTTTCATGTTGAATCATGTCGTTCGTGAACATTTTTTAAGGTTGAATTGATATGAATCCCGCGAGAACGCCCATCTCTCTTACTCTCTTACACACTCTGTAGGCATTAAAAACTTTGTAACAGAACTTATGGAAAGACCAAGTTAATTTTTCATTTCACTAAAATCGCTTGCGTGCATAATTATAAAATTTTCCTACAGGCCTTGTATAAGTTTAGCAATTTTAAAAGCTTTTGGCAAATGCGGTGACTTGCATTTTTATCATGAATTCAACTGTATTTGGCTGCGTAAGCATAAAATATTTTTTAGGTATACATGTTTGTATATATATTTTATGCGTATGTGTGTGTATTTGCGTACTTGTGGCCCACAACAAAGGTGTCAGATGGGCATAGACAGATATATTTGAAATTTTTGGCAACACAACAATACGCAAAGGATATTCTGTGAACAATGGGATTTTATTACATTTTTGAAGCTACCAATTGTTGTTGGTGTTTTCTTTGCATTTATTTCTATTTATTTGTATTTATTTGTATCTTTCGAGTGGCAGCCCCGGGTTTTAGCATAATTTCATTTGTGTTTCGGCTCCAGTTTATGCACCAATGGGATCAAGACACAAATCAAAACGTTAACGACGTGAAATCGACGCCGCAGGTTTGCCTGATGCAAACACACACACACACACGCGCGCATACTTATACACGCGCACAAAACAAACATGCTTTCGTTGAATTTACAGTTATGCGGTGGTTTTCTAAAGTTGTAAACTTCAAGCAAAGCGAAATTTCTAAATTGTTGGCTTGTGGCTTTGCTTAGCGAAAACGCAAATATGGAAAATTTTGCAAAGTTACAACAACCACAAACAGTTATAGTTGCATAATTCATATTCATAATAAATTTTGCGATTTTTATTTCGACCATTTCATTGCTTGGCGGCAGTTGAAGACTCTCGCCGCGAAATAGTTGCAAATTTGTTTTTGGCTTTAGAGTAACTACGTGCTCGCCGCCACTGTGTGTGCAGGGGATATAATAAATATTTGCAATTAACTGTGCCGAGTTCCAAGGTGACTCCTTGAACGTGACCACCGAGCTTACCGTTTGATGTTTGTACGCATCGGCGACTGTTGGCACACACACACCTGCCGCACCACTGCTGTGCCTCCCGGTCGCTTTGCCATACACCTAAGTTTGCGAAATTTATTAGAGCGCAGTAAGTAATATTTTTTCACATTTTTTTGTTGCTTTTTTTTTTTTTTGTTTTTGAAAAGGAAAAAGTTTTTTCCACATTGAAAATATGCGCGCAAACATTTTAGCTTGCGGTGGGGCGTTGGCAACTCGAGTGCTCGGATGGCGCGGTCAGCGCTGACGGTTACTGTTGCATTTCAGAGCACTCGAGTGTTTAAGGCCACCGCTGCTGCACTCGCATGGGGACAAGTGCGGCGCTCACGTCTAGACATCGTGGCAAGCAATATTGCCAACGATTTCGCTCCCCATCTCGCTTGCTCCGTGTGCGAAAGTTGCAAACTAATGAGTGCGTTTCTTACTAATGGCAGCTTTCCATTATCAATGCATTCATAATGCACTCAGTTGATGTGCAACTCATGTTGTGGTTATTATTGCGAATTTGTTTTAAAACTATTACTTTACTCTCCACTTTTATATTTAACGTTGCTCATGAATATCGAATGGTTGTTGCGTAATTGTAGAGTTGCCATTTTCCTCTTAAACAGAACGGTGCCCAAAAGCAGTTCCATTTACGGGGTGCCGTTTTGATCAGTTAGAAAATACCATATAAGCAAAAGTGTGGCCTACATTTAGGCTGATATGAAAAAAAAAATTTAGTACGCTCACATACCCATTTCTATATGAGTTTAAAGAAAAACGAAATATCTTAAATATCAAACAATTATGAGAAGACTAAAGCTATGTCTATACATAAACGACTTAAGAAAGTCTTTTAGTCTGTAGAGCATGCAATCACAATTAGAAAAATTACTCGACAACTGATTCTAATTGTTTTAGTAGTTCATAATAAATTATTTAAACCCGATATTAGCAATGGAAAAGCCAGACAAAAACTACATTCAATCTGCATACTAAGCTACCTAAATATCGTTGAACCATTATTCGACTGCAAAGTTCGAAATGTTACACCGAAAACACGAGTTTGATATGTTTTAATTTTATATCTACTTACTATTGAGAAAAAATGCTTTTCTTTGGAAATACAAGTATATACATATTTTTTAAGGTTCATTTTATTTAATAAACAAATAAAAAGAGTATGTAAATTTGCAGAGTTTTATGTACTTTAGTCATCGGCGAATAATTTTGAAAAAGTTTGGAGAAGTAAAAAAAGTTGGTTTTCTGAAAATATTTACTCTCCAGAGTGGCTTAAAAATGTGTAATTTGCATCAAATATATAAAAAAAATTATGCCCTGAAGATTTTTAGTCCGTTTTGGGAAAATGTTTCTTATCGCCGTTTTTTAAATCTGTTTATATCTTCGAAACTATTTGCCGAAACAACTCCAAGTCTTCGGACAATATTTTCAGGTACAATACTACATTAGATTTACATGCAAAAACATAATTACATTTTTTGAAATTCAGTGGATATAACCTCTTCAGGTTTTTATAGCATGGTAAGACTAGCGTCTTGGTAAATAGCTCCAAAATTAATAAAGGAAGATCATGATAGTGATCTCGGCCAGTATATCCATAAGAACAATATTGACTTTGCTGCCATTGGTGCACTTAGCCTGACGGAGTGAAGAGTTTTTTTTTTTTGTTTTTTTTTATGTCAAAGAACTGATTCACCATTAATCTCATTATGTTCTCGGATCTACTCATCCGTTGCAAGCATAGAAGCATCCGCTTTTGTTCTTTCTTTTGTCTTGAGATCTTATCCTTGATTTTGCTCGAAAAGATCTAGTTCAAACGCTTTTAGGTCGTGTCTTTTTCATTATTAAAAAATGTATATCAACTTCATCTGAGGATGGAAAAGTCCATATTTGGTTATTAAGAAGCGTTTTCATACTCAAAAAATTACCGCTGGATATTGCTTTTGGAGTGGTTATACTTCTTAGATACTTTGCTTTGAAATTTCGGCAATTACATCTATGAATTCTATTGAGCTATATTAAACAGTTTGCTGTTTAGACTCGGACCATCTTTGACTCCAGCATCTAAATCATTCAAGCTTCAATAAAAATATAAATCAAATTTTGCTAACTCATTAATTATTTCTTTGAAGCAAGATCCGAAATACAAATGATCACTCAACAAATGAATTGATTTTTAAAAGAGAGCTTCTAGTATTCAACCAATTGCTTCTAGTTATCGTGTAAGTGGACCATGCTGGGCGGATTCTTTACCCTAAAAGATCTTGTTAAATTTTTACCTTCATCTAATAAAGGAATCTGCAAATAACTGATTTCTGGAAAGAAATTTCTTTACGTCAAGCCTTATATAACTTTAATTTCAATGTTCAATGATTTTTTACAGCAATTACAAACAGTCCTACAAATAAAGTGACTTCGAATAATTCTTGCCTTCGAACAAGAAAATGGAAATTTATGAAACACAACACATCTGTGGTTAAAAAGAATTAACCAAACCACAAGCTGTCAATAAAAAGATATTGTATACATTTCTGAGTTTGCTGATACTTCAAATATGTATTTATTTGTTGTATATACAAATATATATGAAGGACAAAATTTAGTACATAGATTTGCTTTGTAATATAAAAATTTATGAATAAAAGCTTAAGTAAGTGAAGAACCGAGAAATTAGTGAATATGCATACAGCCATATACATCGTACACACTTGAACCGAAATACAATCGGCATTATGTAACAATTATTTTATTATTTTGTGCATTCATTGGCTATGAAACCGTTATTCCCTCCAATTGAACAAGCTTCTGCGCATTCATACGAAAAATTCTGAGTGCTTTTGAAAAGTTTTTTCCAACAATATGGAGTGACTTTAAATTAGAAAAAGTTTCACATAATTTTTATTTCAATACTTTTCAATATTTTGTGTTTGTTTTTGCTAAAAACTTCAAATGTGGAAAATAATTTGCTGTAATATTTTTTGTTGAGTGATTAAATATGATATGGGGGTGGATTCATTGAATAGTTTATTTGAAACTGAAATTTATTTCATTAAAAAAAAATTTTTTTTTTCAACAGCGAAGTATTGTTGAAAAACACATTGCGCGAAAAATTTACTGAAATTCACTGAGTGGAGGTAAGCTCCCCTTCATTGTTTAATGCGAAGGTCGTTACCTCCGAATTATTTCAGGGATGTTCTCTGCCGCTAAAACAACAAGGCCGTTACAAAAAAAAAAAAACATATACTAGGCTCGAGCTATATTATTTGATAATTGTACCCTAAACAGGGTATAACAAGATTGCCACAAAATGTGTATCACCAGCGACTCCGCTATGACCAGACACCCAGATGAGTCTGACGATGAAGTAGCTTCTTGCTATTTCTAGTAAATGCAGGCACTCCTTAACTCGCCTTACTTAGCGAGCTCAATGGTGGTATTGGCGCTCTGTTGTCGGAGTGAACCTCTCTAAAAGCGGCTGGACTTCGTAGCAGTACGTCTAACGCCATCTTAATAGCAGCTACTTCTGCCTGAAAGACACTAAAGTGGTCCGATAGCCTAAAACTAAGATTGACGGAGAGCTCCTTATAGAAAACTTCTCAAATCTCTCGACCTATTCGTGACAAAGTTCATTGCGCCTCTTCACCAGCGACTCCTCGCCATTCACATAACCCTCGTTAGTATGTAAGCTAGGAAAAAGACGCCACGAGTAACCTCTGCGACGCAGTGATCTAAGTTATACCCAGCTTTCTTGAGCCTTGAAACGCTAACACAAAGTAACCGTTCAAAAGTAAGATAAAGATCTCTCTATATCCTTTTATGCTATAAGAGATATAACTGTGAAAGGTTTTATAGCTTTGAACCGAAGTGAACGTTTTTTCTTAATTTTTCTCAAATTTAATATAATATTATATTAAAAAATATTTATTTATTTAGTTTTCTATTTTCATCTCAACAAAATTCATTGGAATTTTATTTAAGCCAATTTGTAAGTTGTAAGTGCGTGCAAAGTGATTATCTGCTAAACGGATTCGGTCGTCTGTGTACAGATAATTCGGAAGTTGTTCACCGTACAGGCGAGTTTTGGACACTTCTATATAAAAGTTTTGTTTATTAATATTTGCAGTAATATATATATAAATGTCTATATACAAGTATTTATACAGAGATATTGCACCTACATATACGTGAGCTGACATTTCTATTAGCCAAAAATTCCGAAACTTTCCGAAAGTTGTGTAGCAAGTGGCTATCTTCACAACAAAAGTAATTGCTAAATTAAGTGCACAAGCACTTGGACACAACCGAAATGAAAATATGTGAAGGAAAATATAGTTGTGAGCGGTTAGTAGGTACTTTTCGGCAAACTTTAACATGTGAAAGAGCCAACTGTTGTATACCATATATTATATATGGCTATACATAGGTAGATGTATGTGTGGAATTGTTTGTTTCATAGAATGCTACTGGAAGGTCAACAGCTCACCGAGATCAGAGGTGCAAAGAAACAAAATAACTCATTGAAATATCATTTATAGCATTACTGAGCGTTAAGACTTTAATAAATATATTAGTAGGCTTATTGTCTGAGGACGTACCGTTTAAAGCCAGTTACAAAGCAATCTTCTTTAAATGCTGGGAGTGAAAAGTTGTGAAAAAAGTGAGTGACTTTTTTATATTATTATAATACTATTAATAATATATAGAGGTTTAAGGATATACAATAATAGTTGAAAATAATTTTTTAGAAGAGTTGCCAACTACATAAAAAATATAATTCAATCAGATAAGAGAAGCAAGCTGTCAAAATATTATTACAAAATAATGAGATTTTAAAATGCAGAAACAGATTAAAATCTTTTTAATGAAGGATGCCACATATTTACAATTTTAGTACTGAAATCAAATTTTTAATACAACTAAGTAGGCGTACAAGGATATCTGTCGAAAATAGCTTTGCGTAGAGTTGCCAACTGTTTTTTTTTTAACAAAAAATTGTATTTATTTGGTACAGAGATACTAAGTAGGATAAAATTAAGCATATTTCAGATATCTTATAACAGTTAGAATCAGTGGTTAATATTTAGACTCTAATAATCGAAAAATGATAAAAATATTCATAGTCAAGCAATAAGTTAAGTTAAGTTAGGTTTAAGTATTAATTTGTCAATTAGATTTTGAATTATTTAGAATTTGTTCAAAATATTATTTAACATAACAATTTTAATTTACATCTAGCATATACCTCCGTAAAATATAATTTTTCAGCTTCTTGAAATCATTAAATCACGGAACAGCCTACCCAAAATTTTAAAACTAATCTGTTCATATAATATTCCAAATCGTTACATTTTACTCTCTTTGATTGGTTGAGAGAGTAACCAAGAAGAGTTATGTCTCTCCCTTTTTCCATCTTGTTTCCTCTCTCTATATGATACGAAATATCTTGACTTTTAGCAACATACAATAGTTTACGGATGGCATCACTTTGAAGAAAAAATAAAAGCCATAGTCTATAAATTTTAATTAAAGCTCAATATATACAATAATTATACAGAAAGTCTGCGGGGTTCTACAAGTATTACACCTATAACTAAGAAAAAACCTTCAAGGCCTGGAATTTGAACTTTACATTCAACTAAATGAAGGATACTTGTGCTTAGAATTTCCGACACTTTTATTTAAAGCTAAGCCAAACTTAATTATTTTATCAAGTAGCTAATGTAGAGATATCTTTAACTATAGCCCTTAAAGCATGAATTTCTTTCAAGGTATTATGTAATGCTGCAACCTTTATAACGCTTAAATGCTGACTAACATATAGTAATTTGTAATATACAGATATGATATTCACATTTTTTTTTTGTAAATGTTAACATAAATTTTAAATTAATAACGATTAAAGCAGACACAATTAATAGTCTACAAAGTTACCAATCGGACTCCACGGCGTATGAGTAATCAAACTGTATGGAATGTAGTACCATAAATAATATGTTTATTGTTACACATATAAACTGAGCAATTATATATTTTTATTTACGGGAAAGGTGAGTTAATCCTTGCAGACGAATAGCTTGGCACGTTACTTCCATCCGATTCGTCTTAGGTGCGACTCCCAAGATTAAAAAAAAATACCGAAAATGTATAAAAAGAGCCATTGTCAGACCTTACAACTCTGCTATATCCTTCACATATGTATATAAAAAATTGTTTACAAATAAATCAGTTATTGTAAGGCACATTTATTTTTCGAATAAAGTACGAATCAATACAAATATATATTTCATAGTATTATTGAAAAAAAATCTGCGCTTTACAATATATTGTAGATATTTTAATTTAATAAATTTCACGCAATAACCACATCCAAGCATATGGCCTAGTCCGAAATCGAAGCAAGCATATTAATTAAAAATAAATATAATATTTCAACTGCGGTGGGAAGAACCTATAGGCTAATAATTTTCCTCTATTTACCAATATCTTTATGTTACTGTATACATATATGTGTATAACATATTGATAACCCTGCCAACCATATTTATTACTGTACTCTTGGACATTCTCTCATATGTGTATTATTTACATCGCAAGTGAACACGCTTACATTCATTAATTATCCGCTCGGTGGGCTTTTGTTTAAACGATTGCGGTTGGTTAATATAAAATTCCTGGGCCGCTCCTGGCTACGCGCTCATAAATTGCTGCGGCGCGGATCTTATTTCACTATACATATATTTGTATGCGTATATTACAAATGTATTTCATTGCATTCGTGAGTGTTGAACGAAAGGGAAACTATTGATGGATTTTACAACTTGTGGGGCATTGATATGATTGTTAAACGAAAAGGTGGGTTATAACATTACTTGTAAATAAAGTGCTATCAATCAAAAGAAAATAATTTAAAATTTAATTTAAATTAATTTAAATGAAATAAAATTAAATTAAAATTGCAATCAAACTTAAATTATAATTAAAATTAAAACACAAATTCAACTTCAAATTCAAATTTAAATAGAAATTAAAATTAAAATTGAAATTAAAATTAAAATTAAAATTAAAATTAAAATTAAAATCAAAATTAAAATTAAAATTAAAATTAAAATTAAAATTAAAATTAAAATTAAAA